ATATGTGAGACTTCTGAATTGGAAAAGGTAACCACCTTGCTTATTAGTTTTACGCAACCAACATTCACCTCAGTCATTGAATCAAATCTTCTTACCTAAATTAAAGTAACCCTCATTGTAGAAAGGCACGTCAATACTTTCTTATATAAGTTTTTACTATTTCGAAGAAATATCTATGTGGAGCAACCATATCAATGCCGTAAGGTGGAGTTTTTTCTTTGGTACTTAGTTAATAAGTGAGCCTTAGTCTATGAAGGCGTCGTTGAAAACACATTTTTTAATCTAATAGACAAATAAGGGTTATTGAAATGGAGTCTTTCGAGAACTACAGAACGATTGGATAAACTGGGCAGCTAGAATCAAAGAAAACTAATAACGGATTGTGTTTTCGGCTTTTTCTGACAATTCTTGTGAAAGAGTGCTTCCTTTCACTGTCGCAATTTCTGGTTAAAGAATGATAGTTTAAAACCAGGCACATTCAAATTACACTAAAGTACATTAAAGAATAACGAAATACTGTAAAGTATTATAAATTGCATTAAAGCGTTGCAAAATACAGAAGCAAGATGTCTTCGATTGATTAAAGTATTTTAAGGTACTGTAGCTTACTTAAGAGTACTTTAATGTACTTCACCGTACTTCAAAGTACTTTAGTGTACTTTAGAGTACTTTAACGTTCTTTAAAGTACAAAAGTACGATGTTTTCCCCTTGTCTGAAGTACTTTCTCAAACGCTAAAAAATCGGTTTTTCAGGTAAATGTCTATCAAAATCTATTTTGGATTTGTCACAAATAGGCTCATTCAATGCAGAATGTTTTTTTCTATTGGAATCTATGCTAACTTTGTCGATATTTAGGTCTCCTTTTTTTTTCAATAAATGTCAAATACCGCCACCAATATGACCGCATGGGGGTGGTATTCCGCATCTATCGATAAAAGAAAACCTAAATATCGACAAAGTTAGCATAGATTCCAATAGAAAAAAATATTCTGCATTGAATGAGCCTATTTGTGACAAATCCAAAATAGATTTTGATAGACATTTACCTGAAAAACTGATTTTTTAGCGTTTGAGAAAGTACTTCAGATCTTTGCTGCTATCCAAGTAGTTTTGAGAAAAATGTGAAATTTGTAATCAACATACTCAGCTCTACCAAAGTATATCGGCTTCTCATAGAACGATGAGAAAAAGTTTTTTCGATCCCTGAGGGGGACCCAGGGTGAAAAAAATGAGTTACGGTAAAATACAAAATAAACTTGTAAAAAATAATCAGGGTTCATTGCTGATTCTCAGGCTAATAAAATTAGTGTCAGCTTTTGTGAAACGCCAAGTTAGTAATTTGACACACTTCCTTTCCCCTTACCGGTCACCTGTTACTTGGTAACGTAACAGTAACTTCCCTTCCCTATCAAAAATATAATTGTGATTCTGTTTAATGATGAAAACGAAAAAATATTATCTGAAACAACTTGAATTCAAGGGGGAAAAGCTGATTGCCATCAAAGCAATCTTTGACAATCGTTAGCAATCTTTGGCAATCTTTGAGCAATCATTGACAATCAAACCAATCTGGACAATCAAAAATTCAGCTTTTTCCCCCTTGGATTATATTCAAAAATGTCTACCGGATTTAAACATTCAAAATAAAGAACAATATTAAACTCTTTTATCAAAAGAGACCAATCAACGTATACATCCACCAGTGCAATGAATACTTGGAAAGCACTGTTTCCGAATTGATGGTAACACAAAAATTAAATTAAGACAAATTTAATGATCCATCAAATTCATGTGCTTGATTATTTCTTATATCAATAATATCTAGTAATCGAATTATTGTTTTGGATGCAAGTTGGAATCCAAGGTGAATATCATCGAAGAATTCTTAATTGGAAAAATAAGCCTCTTGTGTGATTTCCTATACTAATCCCTTATATTCAATTCGATTCTGAATTGATCAAGTTTCTTGTGTTTTAGTCATGATGCTCAGATCTTATTACGTTCATATCATTTCGGTCAAAAGAAATCAGTTTACGTCTATCGATTCGTATCTTACGGTACAATGAAAGAAAATATCTATCAGAGACAGGTTGTTAAACAATCAACTTTATAAGATTTATTCTTGTTGTGTTGTAATATGATTGATGATCATGAATTTTACTCGAAGAGATATAAAAGAATTGTATGATTTTCAAGTAGAACAATTACCAAATGCTCAATCGGCATCAACATGTTCAAGAGAATCAAAAAATGGTTTTAATTATCCAGAAACAGAGGCTTGTCTTTTATTCGACATTTTAAATGAACATAGCCGTTGGATACATTCATATCACTCTCATGATTCTTTATTAGAAAATAAGATTGACAAAAATCTCAGCCCTGAAGAACAACATCAAGGTAGATTATTCATACTCTAATGATTCTTTGATTTATTCTCATCTAAGTATAGCTCTTGAAGAATACGAAACTTCAAAACGTCTTCTATCACAACAATCGAATTCCCCTATTGCAAATAATACATGTGATTATCCATACTTTTGGAGAGTTTACAATCATCTTTCTTCAGAAAATTATTTTTCACACATTCTCTTTATTTTATTTATGAGCACAAGGATATTTCTGAAAGCTCGATCAAATTCTTTCGTACATGAACAAGCATTGATTTTTGCTAGATTTTAGTGATACAACAGAATCAAGTTCCTTTTAGATGAGAACCAAATAGAGTCATCATTGTCAGAGATAATAGACAATATCACAGCATTGATCAACTATACTGGCCTGTAAGTCTATGCGTTTCTGATGATCGAACGATAATCTTTATTGATTGGATCAATCAACGAATAGTTCGTTGCGATATCCGTAGTAAAAATGTAGAAATTGCAAGTAGTCTTATTATTTGTGATAGAGGAAATCGACAAGTGATAGAACACTTTTATTATCATGGTATAATTAACAGAAAAATTCATGTTAATGATATCGTTTGTCGAGGATTTTTCTAAGTGGCTGACTACAAGAAACATCTAGTAAAACGATATCGAATGGACGATCAAAATGGAACTATTGTTGTTGGTGGAAATGGTAAAGGAGCAAAGGCAAATCAATTTAACTGTCTCAAGGGTTTGTTCTTCAATCGACATGGTAATTGATTTTCTGTAACTATTATAGGAGGTGATCATATAAGATTATAGCCTTAAATTATGTACCTACTTGAACTAAACTCATACAATCTGGAAAATGTTTGATTACCTATTAGATTTAGTAAAAAGAAGAGTGCTGAATTTCAGTGATAAGACCATTTTTTTTGGTTCAAACTTTTTATTTGAATAAAAGATCCGCTGTAATTCATTATTTGCCAAGTAGACTTTTGTATTAGGCAAGCCAATTGATTGATTTGTGACATTTTAATTTGGCTCTATCCTTGATATAATATTTTAGGTGCTATAATGAAACCTAGATGTTACTGTTGATTTGGATGATTAATTTTAATTATTGCATTCATTGGCTTAATGTTTCTGTTGTATTAAAAGGATACTTAATTATACAGCTGAATGACTAAGAATACAACAAAAATGGTCTTAATGAACTGCTGCATGTTGTTAGAAGTATGGGTGAGAATTATTCTTATTCCTTTGTCTCCACAAATAGACTATATGGTTTGAAACCCTCTGTTATTTTTATTGCATTTGAGAAAAAAGAAATTTCGATATCAACACTCATTGATTTAATATTGCACTGGTTCATTTCAATTCCTGTCAAAAGATTCATCAGTTGATTGTATTGCAACAATGTTTTTTACCTTTTGGTTTCCATGTCCTCCTTGGCTTTTTCTATTTTTATCAAGACTCATTAAGAACCATTGTGACATAAAAAATATATTAATCAAAATAAAGAAATACTAAAATCTGATATAGAATTTTTTCTCTTTTATGTAACATATTTCATTGTTAAGATCTCGAACAGCGTAAAAATGCCCATGGTGACAACTCTTTTTTTGTATAAGAACACCTTAAGAAAGCTATCTAATCTCCTCTCATTGTTTCATTCATTTCCCTTCTTTTTGCTCTCATTTTCTTATCTATGGAAACCTACTTGGAATTATTTGACGTTGCCATAGTAGTGTTTTAATTACTCACGTGCTACAATACTAGCATTTAATTTGTGACTTAAGCGTAACATTACGTACTAGCATCTAAATAAAAATTTCTTTGATTACTGTTACCGTCTTCATTTTCGACGACAACGGATTTCAGAAAAAAAATCATTTCATCTGAAATTTCTTTGAAAGGCTACCTAAAATATTACCAATAGATTCTTTTTTCATCTATACTTATTCCTAAAGAAATTCTCATTTGCTTTCAGCGATGTCAGGACACTTAATTCTATCAGTATGAACGATCGTAATCGACTATTTTTGTACGTAATTCCTTTTCTTGTCTTAATCAAATCTAGAGCTTCAACATTCTCATCAATACGAAGCATATTTTTAAGAATTTTGCTCTTTCAAACATATTCTATTTGAAAAATGAACTTGAAAATATCAATAAATTGAGTTCAATGTATTGATTGACTCTTTTATCCTAACAAAGCAAGCTTAACTACTTAACATAGGAAGATACATAACCATACATTAATCTAAAGGAATATTTTTAAAAATGGCATAATTTAAGTCATTTAATTCTTCAGGGAAGAATGATACTGCTGACTTGGAATTAGACATAGTGGAACAGGATCATGCATAATTAGATTAATCAGTTTATCATTTCAAGATTTATTTAATTAGATATATTTTAATATCAAAGAATTAGAGAATTAGTAATGTGTGTCATTACTGTTGCTTAAAGTCAACTTTTCCTTTTATCATACTTCTCCTTGGGTTATTCTTAAAATCAACTGTCATCCATTTGATATAAAAGAAAAAGCAAGATTGTTTTTCCTTTCATAAATAAACTTCATTTTTTGCAATATTATCTGGTTTACACAGTCAAGATATAATCACAAGATGGATTCAAATAGCACTATCATCATGCTCTCAAATCTTACAATAACAATTGATACTTATGTAGGCCTTTTCATTTATGTTACTGGTATTCTTGGTAGTATCGGTAATATAATCGTCTATAGGTCGAAATCAATGCGTTCTCGAGCTTGTTCGGTTTATTTATTATGGGAATCGATTATTGATTTTCTGTATCTTAATATTATAGTCTTAACAGGTATATTAATGAAAGATTTTCGTATTCCCATTACGACACGTCATGAAATTTTGTGCAAAATTCGTGCATTTTGCTCAACATATGGCAATCAACTTGCAGTCACTTTCTTATCATTGGCAACAATTGATCGAATTCTATTATCACAACGATCACAGAGTAAGTGTGAGAATATTCAGTATTATCATTGTTCGATGATATGTTTTATGTTGAACATATGGTCTTTTTTATTTCCCACTTTTTTATTGATAACACATACGATGAGGATTGTGAGATGCTAGGATAAAATATATTTGCTCAAAGATAAATTAGAAGATATTTTCTTTCTTTCTCATGTAGTAATTTTTGTTGTGATCTAGAACGAGAACAATGTTTTTTATAGACACCTGTTGTATCATAGAACAGTTGTTTACAGAGATTGATCTGTTCCATGTTCCAATGGAAACTTCGGAAATGTTGCAAGGAGTATGAATGAATGAGAAATAAGTTTTCATATGATTATTTACTAAGTGTGAAGTACATAGTACATGTGAATAAGCATAGTCTCCTATGCCGTTGAATCAATTGGAGTTGATTCAACTGTAATACAATTTTGGATAATTGTTTAAAACTAAGAAATAGTTTTGAAAGGCACTCTAATGAGTAATAGAATCTATACTTTTGTACACTTTTGTTTTGGATAAGGCCATCCATCCAGCGTACCTTATGATAATGAAAGTTTTCTAGATATCTTTCGCTGCAGCTCTTTACATTCTTAGTTCATTAGGAAGCATTTCAAAATATATTCCGGCCGTTCGGTCACTCATCATTCTCTTTTCCATTTTTCCTTCCCTGTCCTTGCGTACCCTTATTCAGTATTGTCTCCTTCCATCACTTCTCAATTGATTTATGTTTTCGTTCTTTCGTGTAGGGATGAACTTTGTTCCATTCGCTTTCTTCAAAGCTAATTGGGTACTCTATCTATTAATCTCTAAATGATGTTGTCTAATGAAGCTGCGCATTGCACAGCAGTCTCAGAAAAGTAATGATGCGCAGTGTTCACACATATTCTAAATAGAAAATATTTCAACTTTCATGCACAAGAAAAAATCTTACATTTTGTAATACCATGAGTCTTTTTTCGAATGCATTTGTTTATCGCGACTATATATTAAACGCCGATCCTTTTCTTTATGATGTTTCCATACCTTAAAAGTTGTCTTCCGTATTTTTCTTCAAAAAAATTTCTATTAGTTTGGAGCAACTATTTTACTAAGGCCTAAGTGATATCATTGAATACTGAAAAACCATAAGGTTTGACTTGCTGACCGTTGCATTTGCTTTCGGTCGACGAGATCCCATGTAATTAGCGTAAAGGTATAGAAAATAAACTTGGCATGTAAAAAATTATGCTGCTTATCACCAGCTAAGTTTAGATGCAAAGAATTATAAGATACTATTGATCATTGATTTTCTGATTTTGTTGTGCGATTCATAACTTGCTTAGTGAATAGCACATGGGGATAGTGATTAATTAGTTCTGTATTAGCCATAGAGAAAAACGAAAGAACGAATAAATGAAAAAGAAGAAAAACGAAATGAGAAGTGATGGAAGCAGGGAACGAACAAGGGAATGACGAGTGATCGACCGATTGGAATACATTTTGTAGTGCTCTCTTAAAAAAACTAGTCGTAATTGTTCTCAATGGCAACAACATCCGAGAAAAGATGCTTCAATTATTGTCAATATTAAATGAATGAAAACAAAACTCTTGTTAACTATCTGAAATTGTCCTCATTTCATTGGTCGAAATATTTGAATAATTTTTTCTTCAAACAATCATTCACATCATCAGGGATTGGCAATTGAATGAATGTTGTTCTTTCTTTACAGAATATCGACAATGGGGTAATCGAATTCGTCTGGCAAAACTGGTAGTAGCAGTATCTTTTCTGATCTGGTTTATGATTCTCTGGCATCGACTCATCTGGTATAAGATAACAAATGGAGCATGTGTAGCTCAGGCAGGCACCTATGCTTCCTTTAGTGCCTATTGTGACGCAACCATGACATCTCTTATACCAACGATCGTTCTCATTGTACTTGCCATTCTAATCGGACAAAATGTACGTCATATCGTTCAACGACAGGTGGCACCTACGGCTAATATCAATGAAACGAATCAAAATAATCAAACGGTCATTTCTAAAATAAATTCACAGCTGACTATCATGCTTTTTCTGCAAACATTTGTGGCATTGATCTCTTTTTTACCATATTCATCACGCGAATTATACTCTATTATAACTGCTACCCGGTCAAAATCAGCCTTGCAAGTTGCTTGGGAAGCTTTAATATCAAATATTACTCGCCTTCTAACAAACTTATTTTTTAGCTGCCCATTTTATGTTTCAATTATTTCATTTAGTAGCTTTCGTCAGCAATTTCTGCGTTCAATTGGACTTATAAAGGAAAACAATAATATTGCGTTGGATACTATACAAAGTATAGTTGGAAGAAATACTCTTGCTAATACGAATGGTGGCATTTACTAACTCTCTATTCAGAAAATGAAATTGATGAACATAAATATGATCATTAAAAACACTGTATATAGAAGAAAATAAGGGTCACTCATGACTTTTTATTCTATGAATTATTGTATTCAAATCTTTCAAATAAAAATAAAAACTGAACAATTAAAAGTTCCATTAATGAATAAATAAGTTATTACCATGGATGAGCGATATTTCAAATCATACCCTCACATACTCTACGCACATAGAGAAGCCAGAAACTTGAGTGTGGGTGTGGGTGTCTGGACGAAGACAAGATCAACACCCACACCCTCGAGAGATAGATAGATAGATAGCCAATACTGGTACACCAGTTTAGGCGATGAACAAACCGAAGTTAAAAATATAAAAAACTGAAAATTTACAGGGACAAAAGGACAAAACAAAAACATAAAACA